GTTGATTCAGAAACATTTTTAAAATTAATAAGCACATGGCAATGCAGGCTGTTCAGGGCAATGTGCCGTCTAAATTGGAATATGCCAAGTTCCCTCCTCCTACTTACCCAGCTCCTTCCCCTCCCCAGGTCCTGGCTGTTACCCATGTCATTCTGGCAGGGAGAGGCTCTCCCTCATTCCCTCAGGCTGGGTGACTATTAGTCTGCAAAGCTCAGCTTGCCAACTGAACAGCTTCCCCAGGCTCTGAGGTCTCTCCTAGGTCTGTGGTGTGTGTGTGTGTGTGCGTGTGTGCGTGTGTGTTTTCCTTCTTTAACTGAGAAGTAGTGAATCCATTGGCTTATCTACTTTCTGAAACATGTGCTAAGAAGACAAATACTCAATTTCACATCTGCTTTCAGGAAGCAGGGCATGAGCAGCAACTCCTGGAGGAAAGACCTATGGATTAGACCAAACTAGGGATTATTCTTTCTGAAGAGACTGCCATCTAAAATTGATCTCATCTTACTTTCTTCCAAGAAGGGCTCTTCTTCTCTTCAGCCTAAAGACAATTCATTCAAATACTCATTCTTTCCACAAGTATAGGGACCAGCAGTTAGCATAATGGCTATATCACTGGACTTCCATGTAGTCGACTGTGGTTCGCATCCTCGACCTGATGGCTTAAAACTCATGCCGGGCACATGTATGTGTGTGCCCAAGATCCCAAGAGGAGAACGGAGGAGAAGGGATTGCAGCGTAGCCATCCCCCTTGGGAGGTGATTTCTCGCTTTCTGTCTGTCTCTCTCTGTCTTTCTGGTGAGCGCACATGCCCTATAACAAAAAAACAAAACAAAACAAAACAAAACCTCTCCAAAAAAAGGGGAAAAAAAAGTATATATTACATCTTTATGAGCCAGAAAACTGTCTCAGATTCTAGGATATGGTGGTAACAAGACAATAAAGCACTCTGCTCTCATGGAGCTTGCCTTCTAGTAGGGGACACCAGATAAGAAATGAGTAGACCAAAGCCAAGAAGTGGCATGGTGTTTAAAGCGCTGGACTCCCACATGGTCAACCATGGTTTGAGTTCCAGACCTGGCACTTGCTTCCTTGTTTTCTCTCTCTCTGTCTCTCTCTGTTGAGTGAACGTGCCCTGTAGCAAATTAAATAACAATAATAAATAGAATTAAATAAATCATTAAAAAAATGAGTAAAGCAATAATCAGTGTCAGGATGAATATCAAATAAGATGACATGATACAGCAAGGGATCAGACTGACAACTATGGCCTATGGGACCAAAGGTGCCCACCACCTGTTTTGTAAACGCAGTTTAAAAGTAAATGAAGAATGCCCCACAGGGGCCTGCTTTGTTATTCTCTCTCTCTTTTTGCACTTTAAAATTAATTTTAATAGATAATATATTTAATTAGTCTATATCTAAAAAATAAAGTAAAAAGGGATATGCAAAGAAATCTCGATCATGGCTCCTACAAACTAGTCATTTCAGGGTAAAAGAGAAATGAAGATTTCCCACTGATAATTCAGCCTCCAGTGAACAAGCTAGAGTGGCAGGGAAAGTGAGAAAGCAAGCCACCAAGTCCAGGACTCAAACCACGGTCAGCCATGTCCTTAACCAACATACCACCCACTGGCCCCAATCCTTTCATTAAAAAAAAAAAAAAAAAAAAAAAAACTAGAAACTAGAAATGGAAAATTTGTGATAATAACATGCATGATTAAGCCACTATGCAGTATATTCTGGATGGAAAACCACATTTTGTATGCTGTGATGATGAATGAATGTAAATTAAGTTTAAAAAAGTTCAGAAAAAAAACTAAAACTGTTTTTCTAACGCTGCATTATCCAAACGCTAACGCAAACGCAAATGCAAACACAAACACAAGAACTAACGTAAACACTAACTCAAGCCCTAACGCTAACGCTAAGGCAGACACAAGCGCTAACGCTAACGCAAAATGCTAACCGTTAAGGCTAACGCAACCGCTAACGCTAAGGCTAATGCAAACGCAAAACGCTAACGCAAACGCAAAAGGCTAACGCGAACGCTAATGCAGACGCAAAGAGCTAACGCTAATGCAGACGCAAGCGCTAACGCAGACAGACGCAAAGCCAACGCTAACGCTAACGCCAATGCAAACAAGAACGCAGACCGAAGTGCTAACGGGAACATAA